TGAAGGGGAGCATGAGGTTATCTTGCACACTCACCAATTATAATATCCTTACGTTACAAGAAGGAATCCAAGCCGAAGTGGGAGATGCCCAAGATTGTGGAGCTTGATTAGTGGAACTCAAGAGGCGGGCTTCCAACTCCCTGTTTGCAGCCTTTCCACTCCTCTGTGCCCCTCCTCCAGACAGACAACACATAGTGTACATGCACATTTGTGACTCGCTTAGCCTTTCAAATGTCTCCTAGTCTTAGTACCTCGTAGGCTCAGTGAAATACTGTTTCAGAGGGCTTCCTTGTGGCTTCCTTGGTTTCCTCTAAAAAACAGCAACATGCCAGAACTGGTACCACAGAACCTGAGAACAGATTAAATTCCATGAATACAGAGTCTAAGGTGAAGAATCTCCAATGACTGTTACACCTCTGGAGATGTGTATTTGCTTCTTGCCTAATAATCTTCTTCCATAGAAGTCTATTTCATACTTAAATGTGACCAAACCTTTCAGCAAAGAGCTTCAAGAAGCCAATGTCCGAACTTCTGAAAACAGGAATCTTGCCACAACGTAGTAGAACACATGTTTCTCCCACGTTCAGTGGTATTGTTTTTAGTCAAAGCAGTATACTTTGTTCTTTGTGCATGCATATTGAATTCATATGCTGACTCAGATCTGACATGACTTGCCAGAGAATAGTTATCGGAATGAAGATGTCTCTACAGAAAGGTTGACGTGCTCTAATTCAAGATGATGGAATAATTGCTCCGCTCTCATGCTAAAGAATTACAAAGCAATGTGATTATGTAACTCTGGGCTGAAATTTTCCAGACCTTTTTAAAGGAACATATTCTTATAACTAAGGGAGGAAAACAAGATTCAATTTGTTTTATTTTAAAGCTTCTTATTTTGAATATATGATTTGTAAAATGCAAGTTTATTCACTAGAGTCTAAATTCTATTTATTTAAAAGAACAAAGTGCTTATGATAACGGTTATGTCAGTCTTCATGAATACAAACTCTGTTAGAACAGGTATTCAGCTTTCTGTAGGACTATTTTTCCTGGGACTCATGCATTTTTCATTGTCTAGTCATTCTGAATTTAAAATGGAAAGGATGTCCTTTTAAATGCATAAACAAAGGCGGTGAAAATGCGCATCAGAGCCAGTTCTCCATTTCTGCTACTAAAATTATAGGAACTATGTATCCTATGTTAGGATGCACCTGGTGTGCTATTCTGTATACTACATGAGGAACCAATAGCTCGCTGTGCAAAATTTCACCCCATACCATATTTAGCATCATTTTTGCAAGATAGCACCTTACCAGGCTTCTTCAGAAATGCATCAGAAAATAGCTTATTAATATGAGCATCTAACTGGCAGATGGGATACAGTGAAAATGGGCCTGTTTTTGTCTTTTAGAGGTAGTAGTTTTTCAAGATAGAATAATCAGTCATCTTTCAAATCTTCTAATAAGACTCCACTCTTTTCATTTATACATTTGTTCCCTTTGTAAATTTGTTCATTCATTCATTCATTCACTCACTCATTCATTCATTCTGTATTTGTTGATATCTATCTCCTTTCCACTCCGCAGTCTTCAAGCTACCAGGAACGTGCAAATGAGTAGAACACATTTTCTTCTTTTTGGGAGCTCACGAGTTGCGCAGTATGATGAATACAAGTACAGACAGGCGTGTACAGATGACGACACTTAACTCAGCCTTGGGGGGCAGGGAGTGGCCAAGGGAGGCTTTCTGGAGAAGACGGCACCTTAAGATTATGAGGAGTGAGGTCGAGGGACCACAGATCTACTTTGGTGGTTACCTATGGAAAAAACTGTTCAGAGCAATGAGGTAAAAGTAAATGAACTGAAAAGATCCTAAAACAGAGAGAGTGGCAGGGAGAACATTCTGTGAAACAAATCACTAAAAGGACTTGTCCTGTGTTAAAAGAGAAGAAAAGGGAGTTTGATGGAAGGAAGGAGGTAGAGGCAGTTGGGAGGTGGGATTAGCAGGGTGTTAACATCTAGGTTTACTTAGGCTTTTATTCATTTGCTCATTTATTTTGCTTTGGTGACTGGTAACTAGCTCAGATGTGCAGACCGCAACAACAGCTACGATACGTGCTCCCTACACTGGGGAAAGGACTCATAAACTAATCTGATAAAAGGCCCCTTCCATCCCTTCTGTTTTACAAGTCGTGTTTATTAGCATGACGGATCAAGTAATCATTGGCATCTTCTATGAAATCATAGCAGCAGCTGAATGACACGGCCACTGATTAAAAGCAGAAATGAATTAAGAGCAGATTCGCTGTTCTGTTTGGCTGAAGAAACAAGGATAGGCTTGCAGGGACCTTTTGTTGAAAGGCACGCAGTACAGATGTCTGGGTGGAAGGGTTTTCACCGGTCAGTCTGGCAGGCTTTTTGTCTTTACCTTCCCCAGAATATGTCTGAAACCAGCATCTTAGGCTTCTCGAACTGTGCTCTGTGCCCTCTGTGAGGGCAAAGGGTATGTTCTGGCAGAATCATGATGGTAGAGCATAGTAATTAAGAAGTTGGGACTTGGAATCATATGATTTCGCTTCCAGCCAAACTCTTCCCCTTGCTAGCTCTGTGACCTAGGGCTGGTTGATTAGCTTCTCTGAGCATCAGTTTTCTTATCTATAAATGGAACAAAAATAGTATCTGCCTTATAAGGTTATCGTGAGGATTCAAGAAGATAGTATATATAAGTCTAAACCCAGGAGTTGGCACATAGTAAAAACTTATTTAAAAATCTGAGTTTAGTAGCTCTCCAATGACGAAGACTGTCTTCTTACTCATCTTTGCATATTTAGTGCCTGGCATGTTGAAGGCTGTTTTATAGTATATTGGCACATATATGTCACAAGGACTAAAATTTAATTTTCTTATGTAAGTAGTCTATATTTTTGTGTGTGTGTGCCTTGATTTGGCTTAGGAAAGGCACAGGATATTGCCAGAGTTTCAAGACACCACAGCTGTCATTTAAGCAGCCGTAACAATTACCATGTGATAGCAGTAGCTTTCAACCATCTTATCCCAAAGAGACTCACTCCATCCGCAGCATTCTCCGGTGGACATAGCATCAGGAGCAACTGCCTGGAGTATTAGCTGTAACTGCCCCCACTTCTCTTCCACTTAAGGATGTAAGTTATTATGCAAATAATCAAGAGTAACCCAATGAAAGGTTAATCATGAATCCAATGTGAACTAATTTTTAAATCACTTCACATTTTATTATTTTAATTATCATTGTCATCATTGTGTTCTGTGGTGATTACATCAAACTTCTTCAAAGAATTCTTTGAATTCTTTAAAATTCTTCAAAGCCAACACCTTTATTTCTTATACTTTCTGTCCACTTATTCATCACTCGGTCTCCCCTCCATGAAATTCTCTGTTCTCTTGGTTTCCATGACACCGGTATTGCTCTGGTATTCTTCACTCAGCCAAAACTGGTCTTTCAAGGGCTGGCGATGACTACAAATCATCTCCTGTCAGTCCTCATTCTCCCGACCCCTAAGCAACACATAATATTACAACTATTCCCTCTATGAAAGTATCGAAGTATCTGTTCCCTTGGTTTCCTTGACACCAAGAACTAGCCTGTTCTTCCCCTTAGCTTTTTAACCACTCCTGACTCCAATCATGCGCCTTTTCTTGCTCCCTTAGCTCAGAACTGGGGATCCCCCAAAGATTTCCCCTAAGTCTCATTCTCTCTCCTGTTCTCTCTTCCTTGGTGATATCCATTTTCGGTACCTTAGCCATCTCTTATGTGTATAACTTCCCACATCAATCTCCTGGAAGACTGACCCTCCTTTTCAACTTTAATCCCATGATTCTGATACTGCTGATCATCTGTAAGTTCATCTGGCAGCTAAAATTCAGTATAACAAAAATATTTATTACCTTCCCTTAAAGCCAACTTATTAGGATATTTAAATTTTTATTTTATTTTTCAATTACAGTTGACATTCAATAATATATTAGTTTCAGGTGTACGGCATAGTGGTTAGTCATGGGGCAGGAAACATGTAACACTGCAAATCCTCTGAATAATGCTTTTTTGTTGAGAAATACTACTTTTGCTTATATATATAACTGTTTCTATAAATAAACCAGGAAAGTCAGATGAGACTTCGTGGGGGGCAGAAGCCTGCTTTGTATTTCCAGGGCTCGTCCTGTGTCAGGGCGCGGAGGTGCAAGTGCACATCAAGCCCGTGCAAAGTGAACTCCTTGCCTCTTGCCTCCCGAGTCCGCTGGAGCGGCCCCCAGTGGCGGCCAGGGGCAGTGCCTAGGAAGTAAAATACTTACAGATCTTGAAACGTTTCATTTCAAGGGACCACCTCGGTCACTACATTTCCTTCATGAATAACAGTTTTAATGTGTAAGCAATTATAACAAGCAAAGGAGAGCCAAAACTAGTGCTTGATAATGCTCTCTAGAGTGAACTGGGATCGCCAATCTGGGAATGGACGGGGGTGGTCCTTCTGGATTTTCAGGGTTTTGTCCAGCCCCTTCATTTAAGCGTTCCTGGATCCAAGATTTCTCTCTGTAAAGGAAAGTCTCTGTTATTAGTCTAAGGGGCTGCAGGTAAGGCTGGAATGTGGTCCCTCTTGGTGGGTGTTCAGTTTCTCGCTCAGGTTTCTGAGCACGTGGTGGGCATCAGGTTGGTGTTAATTTTCCCCACAGGCTCTGGAGTGCAGTGACTGGAAGCAAGGATCATTTGGAGAGATTTAGTCTCAAATCCCAGTTTCGCCGTTTCCTAGTTATGGGAATGGGAGCAAATTCCTTAACCCCTCTAAGCTTTAGATTTTTCCCCTGTAAAACCTCAGTAACAATTGCACCTTCCTCATAGCATTGCTGCAGTGGATTCAAAGAAATACTGTTTATTGCGCCTAGCCCAGTGAATGGCAAGTGCTCAGTAAATTTTTAAGGTTGTTTTAATGGGCTTCCTGCTGATCTTTGCCGTGCTTCTATTTTTCAGGGAGATGTTAATCTCGGTGGCTCTGGGCCAGGTGTTGTCCCTCCTTATTTGTGGAATTGGCTTGACCAGCAAGTACCTGTCTGAAGATTTCCATGCCAACACACCAGTCTTCCAGAGTTTCCTCAATTACATTCTTCTCTTCTTGGTCTACACCACCACACTGGCTGTCCGACAAGGTGAGTGTGCAAATACACCGGCAACACAGCTTGGTTTCTCTTGTACAAACATCTAGAAGAATGATGAGCCGTGACCAGATAAGTTTTCCCTTACAGCATCATATGACAATTCAGAGCCCCAAGTCTCACTTTTCTATTTTACAGCCATATAGTAAACAAAATGAATGAATAAATCACGAAGAAGCATAACTTGTATGAATTCAGCAGGAAGCAAGAAATGCATGTATAGGCAGAAATGTACAATTGCTCACTATTTGAATTTCTGATAAAATTCCTTGTACCCCTCTGTGAATCTAAATAGAGTGCTTCTCTCGAGCCTGTAATAGGCCCAATACAGCTGTCCTAAATAATGCCAGCCCTGAGAAATTCAAGGGAATTACAGACAAATATACGTTCTTTGGGAAAGTGTCATGGGAAAGGTAAAAATAGTAAACACAAAACAACTCTAACAATAGCAAAGGAGGGAAGAGAGAAAAGAAAACTACCACAAATGGCCCGGTGAGATGTTCTATCTGAACTTAAGATAGCTAAAGCAATAAAGCAAGGCCTCCAAGAGTCAATGCGAGAAAAACATTTTAAGGGGCAATTGCAGTTGAAATCCTTAGGGTATATCTCTGGAGGGTATACCTCAGAGCTTTATGATTATATCACTGGATCTGGTGTGTACACTTTTATCCATGACCCAGAAATAGCCAAGAATTTTCTCCCAATACTAACTATTGACTATAAAATATCATTGAAAAATAAGCATAAATAAGTTTGAAGGCAAAATTACATACCTTAATAGTAAAAAGGATACATGAGTAGTTGCGTACATCAATCCTAATAGTCATACTTTTTTGAAACTTTTTTAAGAACTGTATATTAGTATTTAGTTTTTATATTTCCTTATTTAGATTGCCATCCAGAAAAATATTGCTTAATTATAATGATTTGGCCACTATTAGATTTTATCTTAGAGGGAGCATAAAAATGAACAAGTTGGGACTGAATTCCAGTTTAACTTTGGATTTGGTCAAGGTATTGCAGAAGCTAATTTCATTTACTTCTCAAAAATATGTGTCATCGGTGCTTGTTTGAGTTTTAGCCCAGTACAAGGAGTATAAATAAGAACAGTAAGATTAAACTTCAGACAACTTTGCAATACTTTAATATTACCAAAAAAATTCACATGAAAGTGGTAAATTTCTCTTCCCGGTGGTGTTTTAGAACCAGATATTCCAGACTATGAGATGGTGAATTGTAACCAGCATTTGAGTTCTTGCTCATCTTACTTTCTAGGTGTCCAGAAAGTTAACAAAAGCCTGCATCAGGGCAAAAGTAAACTCAGGCTGGTCTATGAAACAGTCACAGATAGAGACAAAAGCTTAGAAAGCTTAATGTAGCAAAGGATGCAAAGTTAATAATAATAATACCTTCTATTGAGGCTTATATGTACCGATTTCCATCTTTTATTCCTTCAATCAAAGGAAATAGGTGTTATTATCTAAAGATTTATCAGTGAGAAAGCCAAGCCTCCCCCAGCATCGGGAACCTGCTCCAGGCTACAGAGCTAGGAAGTGCAGAGGCCTCGCCTGGGCCAGGGCTGTGTGCCTTCCTGGCCCACCCTGCCCCCTGGCATGCAGGGGCCAGGGGAGGCAAGAGGAGGAAAGACAGATACTTTTGAATAAAAAGGAGGGTGTTTTTCTTGAATTTCAAAACCCAATTTAGAAACCAGCCCTGGATGCAAGGTCTAGTGAGGTACGGCCGTGAAGTCCGGAGGATGTGGTTGAAGACTTGGGTGTGGTGAGGGGGCTGTGCAGGGAGAGGCACAGCTGGAAGGTGGCCAGGGCTAAAAGCAGCAAGGAATCTGGAGGCTCTTTGGAAGGAAAACTGAAGAGGGCCCGAGGAAATTCTGTCTATCCCAGTCAGTGATGGAGAAAATCAGTTTCCAAAGTGCCCTATCTGAAGATTTTCACCATTGCCTCAGATTATAACTACAGTTGCTGGCATGTCTTTATTTGAGTGTTTGCTCATGTTTGTTTGTTTTGTCTTCATCTTTAGAAATTTTAATAGGCTGGCAGTAAACTAACATCTGGAAATCAACATAGTAATTGCATTAATTTTGTGTAGGCTGATTCAGCACTGTTCTAGAAACATACTAATCTCTTTCCTCGTGCTCCTCAAGATTTGGGAGGAAACGAACAACAGAGCAAAGGACTATGGAAAGTCTGGTGTGTACAGGGAGGGGCTCTCAAGCCCCAGTTCCCCTCCTTTCCCATTGCTCCCTGGCCACGCTCCCCAGAGGGCTGATGACTAGGACTGAGGGAGATAGATGCCCGTCTTCCCAATCCTACTGGCACTAGACAATAATTTGACGTCGTCGCCTTAGGCCACATAACAACAAGAATTGGCTTGGGAATATATGTTTGAAGAAATCTCATTTTATAAGTTTAATCATCCAATTTCTAAAAAGTTATGATTGTTGTTTGTGAACGCAATGTGATAAATGCAAGAAGCCCTTCGAGAGTGTTAAGGGTGATATGATTACAAAAGCTTTGTGGAGATTTGACCTCAAAGTCAAGCTGTGTTCTTTTCATCAGATTTGCATTGGCCCAGTGATCAAAGGCTCTGAAGCAACACAGTCCAGTAGAAATTCCAGTACAACTCCAGTTCACACTGGAGTTTTGAACTTGTCCCTGGTCACTCATTGGTTCCTACAAAAATCTGAATACTACCCTCCTTAAAAAAGTATATTCCAATGGACAAATTTTAAGTCTAGTTCTCTCCTCAATTGGAGCTAGATTTTTATTCCAAATGGGTCTAAAATTCAAAAACATTGAGTTAAAGAGCTTCAGTAATACATTTTATAGGGAAAAAAAGTACTTCGAAAAAGTAGTTCTGTTGACATTGTATCAACCTTGAGAATATAGGTAAAACTTGAATAGCTGTTATTTCCATAAGTTCATTGTACCTGCTTTAAAGCAGTTATTCAGGCAATTAAAGCACACCACTGCAGTAATGCCCGAAATCCAAACTCATGCTACATGCATAAAGTAGGGCTTCAGGAGCTGTAACAAAAGCTCAGTCCTGTGTTTCTCCTCTCCCCTCACACTACCACACTTATAACACTTCTGACACTAGATGTGTGGAGGTTTTCCCCACACCAAGCAAGTCTGCAACACCAGCTAGTTGTCCCACAGTTTAGCTCAACTCTGACATTATCCACCTGGAGACAGTGTCATATCCCGCAGGTTAAGGGCTCAGTTCTACAGGTCTGCCCCCTCACTTCAAATGCCAATTGCTTCTGACCAATGGGCTGTACACAAACTGGAGGTTCACAGGACCTCCTCCTCAGGCTTGGTTAATATTCTAGAGGCTCTCTAGAGGAATAATAAACTGTGTACCAGTTTCTTATAAAAGGATATGATATAGATGCACATACAGATGGAGGAGATGAATAGGGCAAGGTTTGTGGTACAGGGTGTGAGCCTTCCATGCCCCCTCTGGATATACCACTCTCCCAGCACCTCCATGTGCTCACTGACTCCAAAGCTCTCTAAATTCTGTACTTTCAGGAGTTTTATAGAGGCTTCATTACGTAGGCATGATCGATCATTAATTCCATTTCCAGGCCCCCTCACCTCTCTGGGGAATGAGGAAGTGGGATTGAAAATTCCAAGCTTCTAATCATGGTTTGCACTTTGTGGTGACTGAGCCCCCATCCAGGAGAGTTGTCACCTCATTAGAACAGAAGACATTCCTAGCACCCTGGAAATGCCAAGGGATTTAGGAACCTTGTGTCAGATGCTCCTGGCGCTCCCATCACTTAGGAAATTACAAGAGTTTTAGGAATTGGGTGCCAGGAACTGGGGGCAGAAACGTGTGTGTGTGTGTGTGTGTGTGTGTGTGTGTGTGTGTGTATCTCCTAGTATCTTACAGGAATATAACTAAGAAAGTATCGTGAAAGTTCCAAAAACTTATGGATTTGTCAAGGAAATTCTCAAAAGAAAATTCTTTTTCATATCTATTTTTTTCTTAAAATTTCATGCAATTCTTCTAGCTGGAGCAGAGAAACAAATGCAAAGACTATAAACAAGAGGAAAGAAGAACAGGCTGGGCTCCAACAGAAGCCCAACTTGCTCTTGCATTTGTGTTGTAGGAGCAAGGAATGTGACAGGCTTTTAAAAAAACAAAGGTGAAAACAGGACATATTTCTTATCAAGAAAAAAATATGTCATCAGACTTTTTGCCCAAGAGCTTCTTTTTTTTATCAACTGTTACAAGAATCCTGCTGATTCTTGGAGCTACTTCCAACCATTCTTAAATAATAAATACCCATGGTTCCTCTTTTGACAATTTTTAACTTCTGAGTGTATATGAGCCACAGAGATTCCTCAATAATTTCCTCCTCCTTTTCTCCTTCTGCCAATTTTCCTCGGTCTTATCTCTCTAATTCCTTTTTATTTTCCCATCAACAGTTTACTTAGTGATGGGGGAGGTAAGGATTGTGGGGCAAAAGCAGGATACCAAGGGAAAACCAAACAAACAAACTTTCATTCCTTGTTTTTTTCTCAAGCCATGATGGTGAAAAAAAGGGGGGTGTCAGTAACGAAAACATGATGGAATGAGAAGTGTCTGTTTCTTTTTATATGCAGACCCTGGAAATAAAATAAAATGTTGCCACCATTGATCATCATTAGATACATTCCTCCTGACTGCTGTTTCTACAAGTTTTGCTTTTTCATTGAAAGATATTTTTATAAGCTCTTCCAATTTCAAGTAAAAGACAAGCTTCCAGCTAAAAGCAATTTGATGAGCATTGCATGTATGTTGCTTTCCAGCAAATTCTTGGAACATAGACATTAAGATATTTAGTGAATCAGTTTATATATTTGTTTGAGTGTGAAAATGAAACAAGTCTCTAATAGTACTGATGGAACACTCATAAAAATATCGCTATGTGTAATCCCTTTTTTTTCCCTAGAGAGAGAATACTGAAAAGTAAATGTATGCCTTAC